GATTTATATATTTCAGCTCTGCTTCACCTTTCCCCATAAATGTCCACCCTTGCCCCCTTCTGCCTGTCCACACTGGCCATCCCTGCTCCTACTTTGGCACGAGTTCTTGTTTTATTTCCCACTTGGCATTCTCATCCAATGTCACTTTACCTTCCACAGCACTGACCTTGATTGTAGGTATGAATTTCACCTGTTGTAATAACCTCAAGGTTATGAGGCCATCAGTCTTGCAAATGCATGGCATTGTTCAATGAGCTCTATAGGGATCCATAGAAAGTAAGTCATGGGTCAGAAAATGCTAGTGTGCTAGTGGAAGCCATATCCAGTGACCAGTGGGTGCTAAAGCAGCATTAGCTTTGATTTCTATTTATTTAGAACCTTCAATACTCAACTTACTATAAAGTAAATGTTGTCCCATGAGGAGTTTTCCTGTGGACTGGAATTGAATATAATCGAGAGATACAGCTATTCACTTACTCGCTGATTTAGTAATTATTTATTGAGTACTTACTTTTTGTTCTGGCCCAAAGGTTAAGAAGAAGAAATGGTTTGCTCCCAGCTTTCAAGGAGCTTGCAGTCTATTAGAAGCATTATAAACAAATAATAATAATGCTATAAGCTCCTAGCATCGTGAAGTGCAAGGAGCACCAGCAAAGGCATGCATGTTAGTACCGGTATCTTGTCATGACCCATCAGTACAGGCCTTACAGAAATTCATCAGGGTATGTACCCTGCTCATTAAAACCTTTAAGTACACATTACCATAAACATTAATAGAATTTATGTAATCTAATGTAATCATATGTTGTGTATATCATAATATATAACCAACATAGATATTTTAAAGAATGAGGATTTTAAAGTAAGTGTAATTAAAGTTTCTCCCTCATCACCTCCTGGGTAGATACCTCAACTCTGACATAACCAGTCAGCATAGAGTCCTCACCATCACTGAGCAAGAATCTGGACTGAGTAGATCTGGGGCACCCACGGTGACAGCTCCAAAGATATTATGGGATAATCCAGACATTTCCAGAAAGACAGCTGGTAATCACGATTTGTACAAGTTGTATTTTCCCTACCAATAGGTCCATTCAAGAGACCAAATTGCTCGAAACTGCTTAATGAGCACACAGTTCAAAAAAATGTGATCAGCATCTGTAAGGATATCTCACCAAACTAGAATAACTGATCGAACTGTCCTTCTCCTTTCTGGTGATATTTCTGTCTGTATAGCCAGTGCTAGACCTCTGATTTGTTTGACTTCTCGCTTTCTTTTTTCTAGAATCACTTTAGACAGTTACCCTCATGTTAACACATCACCACCTCAGAAAATAAGAATGATGCTAATGAACAAAATAAACTAATCAACAAAATAGAACTAGAAGCATGAACATGGAGCAGACTGACAGATGTCAGAAGGGAGGTGGGTGGGACAGATGGGATGAAAGAAGTGAAAAGCATAGCCAAGAACGTATATGCATAGCCCTTGGACACAGGCAACAATGTGGTGAAGTTAAGCAGGAGGAGAGGGGGAGGAGTCTGGGTGGAAGGGAGAAAAGGAGTGGAAATGGGAGACATCTGTAATAATGTCAATAGTAAAATAAATAGAATGCACTAGATTGGATTGCAGCTTGGAAAATGTTGATTTACATTCATGTCCTGGGGATTCTGCCTAAAGAGACAGAATTGCCCTGCTTCCAACTGACATATGTCTGGAGGCACATCCTCCCAGGCTCCTAAGGTTGTTAAAGGTTCTGCCCCAATTAGATGAGCTGAATCCTGCTGGCCTCGGGCCTGTGGCTTCATTCCCTCCTAGAGCTCTGACTGGTGATTGGATTGCAACTGCTAGGTTGATTTAGGTTTTATTTCAAGAGATCTTCATTTTCAGCCAGCTGGTCAGGGTGAGCCTGAATTCCTCTGACCAGATATTAAGCCAGATCTCAAGCCAGAAAGAGGACTCAGATCCCAGAGGACAGTAACTTAAATTGTTAAATTAAGATTCTTTCTTCTCAGGTATTAGACTGACCAATGTCAAGTAATATTCTTCTCCTCAAGAAAAAACTAGTCTATTGTTCTCCCACTGAAAGCTATGATATTGCTATGTTTAAAAATATATAGCTTAAAACTTGGAAAGTGTTTGGCAACACTTTAAACAATAGACTCTACCACCACCCCTGGTTTTATCTTACTGCAGACATTTGTAAATATAGTTCACACTGACTTACTGGTAATATATTACCATTCATTCATCTAGGTGTTGCTATATTCTACAATACATGTCTCTAAGAACAACAACAAACAGCATTAATTAAATAAGAGGTTATTTTAATATCTCATAAGTTAACAATATTCTATATTTAATTTAAAATTACAGCTTAAGCATAATAGTACCAACACCAAGTTAATTTTATTTAAGAATAGTAATTGAACTGAATATTGCATCTGTGTATAATTTGCATAAAATAAAGGAAAAATCCTATATAATAAAAGCCCAGCGACCGAATTACAGGACAACTAGAACAACCAGCATAAGTTATCTGGCCCATAGTTGACCAGTCGCTATGATACACATTGACCACAAGAGGGCAGATGTTCAATGCAGGAGCTGCCTCCTGGTGGTCAGTGCGCTCCCACAGTGGGAGCACTGCTGGGCTGATTGGCACTCCCACAGCAGGCTAATCCCACAGGCCACGCCCCCCACCAATGCAAAAATCCCGTGCATTGGGCCCCTAGTATCCTATCTAATAAAGAGGGAATGTGCTAATTGACCATCACACCCTCACAAAGTTGGCAGCGTCCACAACCAATAAGGAGGGAATATGCTAATTGACTGGCACACCTTCGAAGATGGTGTCAACCATAGCCACAAGGTGGCGGTGCCCAGACCCCTCAACCCTGCCAGGGTAGCAGGGGCACAGCAGACTGGACCTGCCCCCAGGAGAGTCTGACCACTCTGTGTGCTTGCCTCCAGAGTCCCCCAGTCTCCTTAGCCCCCCAGCCACCCAGGGCTGGTGCGAGGTACAGGCAAGCTTAGGATGGTGGCTACCCAGCCTCCCAGGGCCACCTGAGACTCGAGTAACCAGGGCTGGCTGAGGCTTGCGCTGCTGGCAGTGGCAGAAGCAGAGGTGTGATGGGGGTGTCACCTTCCCCTGATTTCCAGCTCGACTCCCACCCCTGAGGGATCCCAGGGGGCAGGAGCAGGCCAGGCTGAGGGACCCCCCTCCAGTGCATGAGTTTTCATGCACAGGGCCTTTAGTAGTATATAAAAACCAATAGACTAAATTGAGTTAATTCATTGTATTCTTGGAAGGAAAGATATGGCAAAATTCAGTTTTGAAAAAAACAACATACTGTATTTTTTGGCGTATAAGACGACCCCCTAATTTTACAGTTAAAACATAGGTTTAGGCTTATATTTGCTGTATAAGACTACCCCCCACTTCTGAGGCAACACCGGTTCTTTTTTTAATAGACCGCCTCTCTGACTCTGGCCAATCTGAGCAGGCTTTTTATGCATGCAGATTATGCATGTTCTGTACCCGAAGCTACACTGTGTTCTAGTAAAAAGCCTGCTCAGATTGGCCAGAGTCAGAGAGGGGTCTATTAAAAAAAGAACTGGTGTTGCCTCAGAAGTGGGGGGTAGTCTTATACAGCGAATATAGGCCTAAACCTATGTTTTAACTGTAAAATTAGGGGGTCATCTTATATGCCAGAAAATACGGTACATTTTAGGCATTAAAAGAAAATTTTCTACAGACAATTTGCTGATCTAGTAGGCATTTAATTCAGCAATTCATGGATTGGGCAGCATCCATTCTAGCAGGTAGAAATGAGCTCTGAGGAGCTTACAAGGCAGAGATTTTTATAGTCCCAGTAAGCCGAAACAAACAAAGTTATACTGGGTATCTTCTGATTGGTTAGAGCAGGGTTACTTCCCTTATATGGACCAAAGGGACAACTTGGAATGGGTCAGATAACTTATGCTGAGCAAGTGCTAATTGACTGACCTAAGTCTTCCTTTTCTGGGAGAGCTGAGCATAGAAACTTAGTTAAGCTTTGGTTTGCTGACATGGGGCTTAGCATGAGTGACTCCATCTTGGCCTAATCTGGTGACTGTAACATATGTTTAACATTAAAATTGAAGGCTTTAGTAACTATTTTAAAGCACACTCATGTACTTTAGACTTTAGCTGTGATAGTAAATGTATTCAGAATTGTATGTATTCAAAAGGAATCTCTGCCCTGGTGATCAAGTTGAGAGTGAGCTGTTGGTCTCAGTTTCAATTCTTGGTTCATCTGTTATAATGAAATGTGACTCATCCAGTGTGATATTTTTTTTTTTGCCAGTGTGTATTTTTATTTTGTCCTGTGAGCTACTTTTCTCATGGGGACACTGGCTACTGGCAATAACATATCTTCTCCATGAGCTGAAGGGCAGAGGCTCATTAAGAGCCCATCAGTGGGCTTAGCTCAACACTCCTCACCCCTTATAGGTAAGAGTGTCACCTGTAGTCCCCAGGGAGTAAGCGATACTCCCCCAGCAGTAATCCTCCTATGTTCCATTTCTGAGAGGCTGCTGACTGGTGATTCCACATAAAGGTGGATGATCAGCAAGGGTAGAACACCAAAGACCTTGCTCCCATTCTCTCCCACTAGGCTCAGCCCAGGTGCTTCCTGTACCAACTAAAGGGGCCAACACACATGCAGGAGCTCTACACTGCCCCGCCACCCCCCACAGTGTCCCCAGGAGTGTCCCCCAATTTCACCTCTATTGGATCTGCTCCCCACTGTCCCCACAGGGCCACTCTAAATCTTTAATGAAACATTGTGTGTTCATACACAAAGATATTGTAACTTTTGGAAAGCCAGAGGTAGGCTATGGGGCTTGTTGTTCCGCAGGATGGGAGGAAACAGGATGATTGCCCATGGAAAGTTATTAAAACTCAAGGAAAGATCAAGGTGTCAGTGGTCCATGTGTTTTTCTGTTCTTCCCACAGGGAATTATTGGAATGCTGCCTCTTTCCCAAATCCGTCATCCTATCTGCACTTCTCGACTTTCCAGGGGGAAACCAGTGCTGACATTTCTTTCTACTTCAAAACATTAATCCCACAGGGAGTATTTCTGGAAAATCTGGGGAACACGGATTTCATCAAACTCGAGCTGAAATGTGAGTATAAGATCTTTATCAACTCTTGTCACTCATTCTGTGCTGGCTCTGGCCCTGACTGCAAATGTCATTGGAGTCAAACATCAAGGGCTTCTTTGCCCCAGGAACAGTGCTAAAGAGTAAATACACAAAGTGAGGAAGGACCTAGGTCCTTGTCCTGGGATTGCTCACAGGATGCAGGCCTGTACAGAGATTCCCAAGCAAAGGTCTTCAAAGAAGGAAGAGAAAATAAATTACCCTAACAATATGGAAGAAGAGTGGGTATTTAGATTAAAATTATAGAGTATGAGGAAGGAGGGAGGGAGGGAGGGAGGGAGGGAGGGAGGGAGGGAGAGAGGGAGAGAGGGAAGGAGGGAGGGAGGGTGGGAGGGAGGCTGAATTTCTCTGACAAAATTGGAGAAGAATGGATATTTCAGTTTTCTTTTTGTATTTATTGTCCAAGGAGACAGGATGAAGAGTAGATAGAGAATTGTGTAAAGAGACCAGGAATAAAGCATGAGAGAGTGGGGAGAAACACAAAGGCATTAGAAATAATAAAACAACATCTGTCTGAGTTTATAAAGCAGCATGGATAGTCATACTGAGTAATGTGATGAAACTTTACACTTGCAGCTTTCCAGAAGAGACCCCACACCTATACACCCTCTAAAGGGTTCAGTTCAGAATTTATTTAGCCAAGGAAATAGAAACTAACAGAATCAGGGCAGGGCTGTTGCTGCCTAGCTCAGCTCAATTTGCCTTGGTTCCCAAAAACCCTCACAAGGTCACACTGGGGATGCCCTCTGTGGGAGGTAGGGGTTCTCTGCATCTGTAAAGTGCCATCTTTGTCATATCAAGGCCCTCACCTCATTGGGCAGCAGTACAGCTTTAGGAATTTACAGTCCACAGACTTCCAAGTTTGGTGAATCTGCTGACTGATTAGAAAAATACAGAACCAGCAAGACAACAGATGCAACCAGAAGGGGAAACTAGTCCATCGGGATCTCTCCACAAAATTTTGTTGTCCCCTCCCCACATCAGAAAGTTTCCTTCCTCCTAGTCCAATGATCTCAAAACCTTGTCCTAGAAATATCTGATGCAATATTTTTCTTATTTTGTAATTTTCATTATGCATTCTGGTCTTTAAAAGAAGGAATCTGAGAAAAACATCTATCTGCTAAGATCCTATGGGATTCTTTGTATGAAATGGTGGATAGGTATAACAGAAAGTGTGCAAACTTTGGAGTTAGCATTCACAGACTGAATCCCAATTCTTGAGTAAATTGCTTCATCTCTTTGAATCCCAATTTTCTAACCAAAAAAATGGTAATTTCTGGGGATTGTTATGATGATGGGATATATATGTTCATTAAGTATTTATTTCAGTGAAGTAGTTGTAATTTATCATTTTTCCAGAAATGCTCATTGTAGATCTAATCTGAGCCAGATCTGACTGAAAATGAGACAAAGGATAGTCTAGCCCCAGAATTAATAAATAAATAAATAAATAGGAATCCTCTCTTTTCATCAATTATGCATTGTAATTACTTTAAAGAGAGTTTTACTTTCCAAAGTTAAAAGTAATTGAGTCAAACTATTTTCTGACTTGCACATTAGTTGGATTGTATTTCAGGATTATCTCCTGGCAAAAAAGTTTGACAATTCAATATTTGAGTAATTTTATACTTTTCTACAGAATTGCTTGAACTCACCTGTCCTTGCTTTAAATTCTCAAGTTTTGTAAACCTTTGTCTGGGTTGGAAAGAAGGTAAACCAGGAATAGAAAGAGCAGTGCTTCTATTTGTACATTTTATGGGCCATTGAGTCAGCTCTGACTCCTGGTGACCCCATGAATGAGTGTCATCCATAGTGTCCAGTCCTCAACAGCCCTGCTCAGCTCCTGCAGACTCAACCTATGGCTTATTTTGTACAGTCAGTCCACCTCATATTTTGTCTTCCTCTTCTCCTGCTGCCTTCTCTTTTTCCAAGTATTCTTATCTTTTCCAAAGAACCCTGACTTCTCATGATGTATGGAATTAGGACAGCTTCAGTTTTGTCATTTTTGCCCCTAGTAATGTTTCAAGAGAGCTCTACAGACTTCTCTAGATCCCTTTTCTGACCAAGACAATAATCACGACCATGTTTCTATTATCAGGCCATCACTTCCTAAGCGCCTACTGTGTCAGGGGCAATGGAGTGGATTCTGGAATTTCTAAGATGAAGACAAGATCACCCAATACCCTCACCTAGTAATGGAGACAGTCACATAAGTAGCAGTATGGATAAATAACTTCCATTGAGAGTTTTCTAACTGCCAGACACATCAGGAAGGTGTGACTACATCACACACCGATACAGTGAGGGATATGGAAGAGTGTATACCATTGTATCTCTTGGGCAGAATAGCACATGACATGTGGCAGCTGCTGACTCGGCATTTATTGAGTAAAGGAAGTGCATGAATAGGGTGCTAATCTAAATGGAGGACCATGGAAGATCTAGCTGCAGAAGACCACCACAATTGTGGGGCTGGTGATCAAAATGATGACAAAGAATAGAGTGAAAGGTGGAAGGAGATGATATGCTTGGGCAAGTCAGGATTTCCCAGGAAAGCAGTTTGGGTGATAAGAGGATTGAGGAAGCGTCATTTGGCCATGCAAGTGGGACTTCGGTTGTTTGAAAAGGCTATTAAGAACATCAAGGAGCTGGTTGCCTGGTCACCTGCATCACTGTTGAGGCTCCTATCGCCAATAGCAAGGGGCAGAGTGGTCAGGAAGTCTGTGAGCCAAGTGTTGTAGTCCTCAGGGTCACAGTATGATAGCCAAAGAATGGGGAGAGGGTGTGTCACAGGAGGGCACATTGCTAAGTGGGGCTCTGGTGACGAAGAATAGAAGAAGTGCTAACAGGTGAAGAGGATGCCCACTGCCCACCTAGCTCAGGTACAGACGGCCCCTGGGGAAAGGGTTGCAATGCCAACTGTTAGGTAGCCTGTAATCAGAGGAAGGAAGTGTTCCAAAGTGTTTGATGATAGCAACCGTGGCGCTTTCATTTTTGTTCAATAATTTAAGAGACTTTAAAGGACACAGCAGAAATTTTTGAAGGGGATGTTCACTGACTTGTAGACATTGAGGAAAATGATCCAGAAATAATGTAATGCGTTAGCACAAGCATCCACATTGACCACGTTTGAGCTTTTCCCAATATCAGGATGACTCAGAGAAAACATTTGCATTTAGCAGACATAGCTCCCAAAAAAGAAAATGTGGAGGCAGCAGTCTAATATCCTGCTAATCTGAAGAAAGGGTATTAAGGGACAACTTTCATTTTCCAAGATGCAGCCTTCTGTAATACACATGCTTGGGAAGGAGAAGAAAACATTCTGCAATATATAGAAAATGATGAATCAGAAGAAACAAACTAGAGGCAATTTATCTTACATTATTTCAGAATTAGAACAGCTTTTTATATTAAAAGAGCTTCACATATGTAGGCATGAGGAATGCCTAATTCCACTCCACTGACCTGTTGTGCCTTTGGGATATTAGGATGTTTTATCTTTTTTATATATACTTAGTTTTTATTAATACAAATCAGGTGTTAGTACCTACATTTTTCCCCTCACTTATCCAATCCAACTTACATTATCAATATAGATGTTTTTCTCATCAACTGTCCAACTTTCTACTTAGCACCTCAATAACAGAAATTTTACTTATTGTAATGTTTCTACTACTTTGCAAGTCTAACTATGAGTTCAATTTATATTAAAGATTTTGGAATCTAAAGAATGATTCTAACTTGGTCATTATAATATATAAGAAAAGAAATTACCTCTTTAAGAAAAATTTTTAAAACCAGACTAGCAATACCATTGTAAATTTTTAAATGTTTAATAAATTTCTCCAGCTTTTGATTTAAACCTTTTCAATTTCAATTATGGGGGGGAGGTTTAGAGATATAAATTCAAAATGAAATTTGTGCTATGTTACAGCTACTTACTATATTAATTTTTATTAAGTGTTAAAAGATATACAAATAATTGGTAAATAATAAAGTCACATTGAATTTACCCAAATTTATTTGTCAATCTTACTGAAGGAACAGCTATTTGAGTATATGGTGTAGGTATCCTAGAGTTAGAAGGAGACTGTCCTCTAATAGAAAAAATTGCCCAAGCTACTTTAGATGCTACTGATCCACCCATGTCTGCTGATTTGAAAATTTCTAGAAGCAATTGTGAACTCTTCTTATGCTGGCCAGATAGAGTCACCTCTCTACAGAGCTGTGGTCCTGCTCTTCTTTCTCCACATTCCGAGGGTACCTTTAGAAGTTTTCCCTGCTACTGAAATCCTGCCCATGCAAAATATTTTTTTATTGCACCTTGATTTATAAAACATGTATAAGGCAGAAGTAGCTCTAGCAGGTATGTCTCAGTTCATTTGGGGCATCACTCTGTGCACTGGAGACCACGGGTTCGATTCCTGGTCAGGGTAATCGATGGATGTCTCTCACATATCAATGTGTTTTTGTTTTCTCTCTCTCTCCCTTCTTCCCTCTCTCTCTCTAAAAAAAAAAAAAAAAAAAAAAAAAAAAAAAAAAAAGTCTTCCCTTTTTAAAAAAAACAACAAAATTTCTACAAGGCAATTAATTCAGTGCATTGCCTAGAAAATAATGGGCATCCTCATTAAAGAGCATCTTCACATGGTGTTTGAAAACTGAATATGTTTTGTGCCATTACTATAGAGAAATGCTAAACTTTCAGAGTTTTTTTCTGATTTTCTCTGATTCTAATGTTTCATGCATTATTTATTGTGTGGAGAAGGCCACAGAATCTTTCTCTTCAAAAAGATGGCATGATAAAACGTCAAAAAGACCAACCACTAGAATCAGCCTGCCTCTGACCAGCTGGAAAACAGCAGGTATTCTATGGGGAGAAGAGATTAAAGGAGCTTGAATTCATAATTCCAGTCTGAGACAAGGACAGGAGAAAGTATATTGGTATTACTCAGTAATAAACATGT